CTTTTTAATCAGTTTGATATGTTGTTTCTTTTCACCTACTCCAACTCAAGTGTCAGCTGTGATTTGTGTGATCCGTGCTTGTGCCTCTCTCCCGGTTGGAATGCTCCCTCTGCAGGAGCAGCCGTTGCAGTTGTGTCCCACTGGGCAGCTCCCTGGCCAGCCCAGTCCAAGCCCCAGCACAGTGTGATGGGAAGATGGCACCGTTGCCAAATGAGCTTGTTTTTCTTTTTCTTCTGTGGCTGATAAGTTTGCAAACTGGACTCCTAATTCTGTTAATGATTTTGATCAAGCAGACCTTTGCTTGGGGATTAATGTTCTTCACCTAAAACTAAAAAAATAAAAGTAGGTGATTGCACTTGGGTTGTTGTTTTTTTTTAATATCTATCTATAATGTGACTGTTTATGCACGTAACAATTGTTTTGTTGTTGTTTTTTTTTAACTCAGTAATTTTACTGTCTTCTTCAGTGGGTGAGCCATAAGAGGTGATAAATTACTGACATTTCTGTGGCTATTTTCAGGGAGATTGTGGAATGGTCTATCCTGGGCCTCCAGGACCAAGGGGAAGCAGAACAGTTGGTCCCAAGGTTGGTGTGATGCCGTGTTGAAGCTTTGGTGCTCTTTTGTGATGCTGGCTGCTAGACTCTGATCTCTCAGACAAAAATACCTTCATCAGTTTTGATTTACATTACTGCAACTGCACAAAAACATGGGCACTGATCATCCACTTCTACTAAATGGTTAAGAAAAGAATACCAACTGGATGAAAATTGCATTTGCAGCTAAACTTTATGAGATTACGGCTGGAAATGGAACAGAACTATCAGACTGATAAATTAGCTAAATGATGCATTTCTTCTGTTTGTATCTATTCTGTTTCTAAGAGATTATGTTGTAGTGGAAAATATGTTAAATGTCAATTTTGTGTTTGCAATTTTTGCTTAAAGAAATTGAATCCAATTAATTTCATTAGTAAAACCATTATGAAGGAAACATGAAAACAAAAAGTTAATTCTGTAAGCAGCCAGCATGCAACATCTGGGCAACTTTTTCCATCCACCACTGAAGTGTTTTAATATTCAAAAAAAGAGAGGCTGGTAAGAAAAGAAATTCAGTAGATGCCTGGATTTCTTTATTGTAGGTGTATCCATCAATTATTTTTACAAAGGCAATGAGAAGAAACATCATGTATATCTCTCCACGTTAACTGAAGTTAAATATATATATGCCTTTGCCATTTTTCCTATGATTTCCTTAGCAGTTTAACAGAAGTCTCTGCTGCCATTTTGAGTAAACTGGTATCTGAATGGAGAAACATTGCTATTACCAACCTGTTACAGAAATGCAAAGACCAACAGGGCATGGAAATTTTCTCAGGATGTATGTGTGACTTTGCCTTGCTTTCTGAAAGCTGCAGCAATTTTATTACTTTGGTAGATCATACAGGCACAGTCTGTTTTATAAAAGCAGCTTTGGATTGAGTGTCAAAATCTTACAAGTGTGTGACTGACTCCATGCTACTTTCACAAAGCTTTTGAGAAGGAAAAATGTGTTCTCTGTGGGGAAACGTTAGTTTTCAAGGGTCAGGACCTGTTTGTAGCATCTAGTTCTTAAGATAAGCTATCCAGCACAATATTTTGTGTTAATCCCTGCTTATAAATGTGCTTATAAAGATCTGGTGGATCAAACTCAGCTGATGGTGTTCCTATAGCGTTCCATGAGTTATGTGGGTACACTCTTGTCATTTGAATTTTCTTTCCTTTACAATTGATTTTAAAAAATTATTATTATTCATATTATTTTAATATAATCCTTATGAGCAACTGATTTCTGAACAGCTTTGGTTCTGTCTTGCTCTTGTAGTACCTGTTTCCTCCATACACTGATGCTTCTTCAGCTCCTCTCTGTCTCTTCTGTCCTTCTATCTCTTCACAGACACATCAAACACTTTTTTGGCCACTCTTCATCAGCTGAAAGCCACTATACTCCTGCATTTGAACTATCAATATCACTTGAAATAATTTTTAATATATACATAGAGCTCAGTCTGTGTAAGGTAAGACGAGAACGATAAAAATGAGGTGGTTTTCAAGTAACTTTATGTTGATAGCTACATTCACAGGTCTTTTTTATGCTTGGTTTCCTTTCAAAACCACAGTCTAGACATTCTCAGATCTGCACTCAGTTCATTGAATTACATTTTTATATAGAAGTATGCTTATTTATCAGTAATCTAGCAGGATATTAGGGTCAAGGATGTAAGGGTCTGCATTTTTACATGCATACCACTTCATTTTTTATGCTAAGACTAATGGTCAAGTTTGAATTTAATTCTGTATGGGGATTGAACTAGTAAAGCAATAAATATTTTTAAATTAATACAGCATACTTACTGGATTTTACTACATGTTCAGTTATGGTATCTATGATAAATCCTTATACGCTGATTGATTGCTCAAGTAGAGGAAGCAGGATTTGGTTCTGCAGTTGATGTTTCAAAGGATAAAACTGGCATGTATGTCTGTGAGAAATGTCAGCTGTACAGGTATGAATTTTTTTTAGAACAGTAGGTCTCATTCAGTTTTGATTACCTGAACACCATCCTAACAATGTCAAATGGGCTGTAAAAAATTTATTATTAGTGAAGGACCACTGGAATACACAGCATGCCCTGATTTAGGTTCATCTGTATGTGCTCTGCAGATCTGCAAAGGTGTTGATTAGGAAGCTCTGTGATGACCCTAATCAGGAAGGACAGTCAGTCCCAGTGCTGCACAGCAAGTACTGAGACAAGCTGGCACACTCACTCTGTTTAAAAGCCATTTGTATTAATCATCTACATGAAGGACCCAGGAAGCACAATCGTGCTAAAAAAAAAGGATTTAAAGTAAATTAGATTAAATAGACCCTGTGCATTCCTACAACAGCACAAAATAAATTGCCTTGTGTATCCCACTGCCTTAGGAATATATCCTATTTGCAGGATTATTTTTTTTTTCCTAGTGAATCAGCTGTGTAATTTGGTGCATCACAGCTTTTTTTTGCTTTTTTTTTTTTTAGTCTCTAGAGTCTGCTTTACAGTGTTTGAATTTTTGCTGCTGTAAGGAACTGGGGAAGGGGAAAGGGAAGAAGTCCTGTGTACAGAGGCAAGAGGCTGCCTGTTAGCAGGTCAGTGGTAGGTAGCCCTGATGACGAGCAGAGCACTTAAGCTCCCTGAGTTAGGGCTGGCAGACCAAAGGGCTCCTGCAGAGCAGGGCTGTCAAGGAAGTGCTCCAATGAAGATGTGAAGAGTGGAGTGCAGTGCTTGCCTTTGCCTAGCATGGGGCAAAACCACAAAGCACCTGTGTGGAAGCAGTAGCTTCCATTTAGCAGGATCCAAGTAAAATTTGGAATTTGGACAGGGAAAGCCATCCATAGACCATGACTCATAGCATACTGCCTCTTCTAGGAGCTGCATCTCATTTTCTAACTCCTTGTGAACTCTCAACTGATGGGATTCAGGAGCCTTGAGTACAAGGAAGAGACATTTGACGTGGCTGGTGCACTGTGCAGCTGCTTCTCCACCTACAGAAATCCACACACCCCTGTCAGCACAGCAGGAGTTGTCACTGGTCAGTCCTGCTGAATTAGTGTACCTCTGGTGAAGGCTAGAGTTTTGATAAATTTGGAAATGTGTTTCATATTTCTCTGCCTGTTATGAGCAATATAACCCCTTTAGGCCCATTTGTGAGCAGCTCTGTGTTGTGGTTTAACCCCAGCTGGGCACTCAGCACAACACAAACGTTTGCTCACTCCTCCCTGTGGGAGGGGGGACAGAATCGGGAGGGTGAAAACGAGAAAACTCTGGCGTTGAGATTGAAGACACCTTCATAGGTAAAGCAAAAGAGGAAGGATTCACTCACTTTTTCCCTTTGGCAGGCAGGTGTGCAGCCATCCCCAGGAAAGCCGGACTCCCTCATGCATAGCAGGTACTTGAGGAGACAAACACCATCCCTCCAAACATCTCCCCTTCTTTCTTCTTCCCCCAGCTTTTATTGCTGAGCACCATGTTGTACGGGATGGGATGTCTCTTTGGTCAGTTGGGGTCATCTGTCCTGTTGTGTCCCCTCCCAGTTTCTTGTGCACCCCCAGCCTACTTGTTGGCAGAGCAGTGTGGGACACAGCACACTATACAAGTATTAGCAAAAGATGTTTTAGTGAGACAGTCTGAGAGCTCTTGACCAAAAAATAAAACTAACCTTGTATATAGGCTGGGTTTGGTACAGGTGATGACTGCTCCTGAACTCATTGACATGTTCTGGAGCTAGTTTTGGTATCTATACCAGGCTCTGCTATTATGTGAATTATGTATGTACTTTGAATTATAGTGAAGCATTTATGTACCAGGGAATGTAATCACCTCTAGCTGTTTTTAAAATGTATACAGCAGTTGATCTGAAAAAAATACTTGTGTTACCTTGTTAAATAAAGCAGGAAAGTTTCTGGAAGCCAGATGCTGGAAGAATATTCTGTACATGTATACTCTGTACATAACAGCTGTGTTTGATATGTTGTATGCTCTCACTGCTAGCACAGTCATGCTTTCCAATCCTGTGTGCATGCAGCAGGGCACAGGTAACAATAATTATAAACAAATTTGAACTTTGTAGCTGAATTGATAACATGATTGACATGGTTTTACTGCTTGTAGACTAGATGAATCATTTTCTGACTCTCACTGAGGTTACTTTTGTCTTTCATCTGTTTCAGTGAAATACTTCATTTCTTTAATCAGGAATAAATTCCTCATTATATACTTTATAAAAGATTCAAGTGTGTTGTGAATAATATCCAATTGCTTATTTCTCCAGCTTCAGACCACTTCTGTCTTGAAAATTGTATGCTCCGTTGCATAGTACAAATATCTGGCATTTTCTATGATGCAGAATGTTATATAGTGAAGAGATACAGTATAGATTTTACTTTAATTTTCAGTTAAACTTACCTTCCATATTCTGTTCAGGGAGAAAGAGGAAATCAAGGTCTTCCTGGAGTAAAGGGATCAATAGGTATTGGCCTCCCTGGACCAAAGGTAAATCCTATATTTATGGTAAGGTAAGGAAAAGAAAAATTAGATATTCTTGACATTTGCCTAAAGATGTCTTTACCTCTCATTCCTGAATTATGGTAATTTCTCATCAAAATTCTTTAAGATGTTTTTACTGCCTATCTTGTTTCCTCTGAGAGCTTGCTTTCAGATGTTCTCTTCATAAAACTTAGAAGATAAACCAGCCACACATAAAAAAAGCCATTAAAAAACGTATCTTAAAAGCTCATTGGACTGTAACTCCAGCTGTATCTTTCAACAAAACTGGAGTTACTGACTGTGTTTAATACGATTGTTTTTAAAATAGGGAGACTACGGAGATAAAGGTGATCCAGGGAGCAAAGGTGCCAAAGGAGAGGTTGGAGACTCAGGACATCCAGGACCAAAGGTAAAACACATTTTCATAGTAATTAATTTTACACAATAGAAATTAGACAAATTTGGCTTTTGTTAATTATCTCACTGTACATGTTTTCAGGGAATTTGGGGAGGAAAACGTGAACCTGGTCTTTCACTAAGTACCTACATGAATTAGTTCAAAAGACAGGAGTTTATTTTGGGAAAATATTTAAAGGTTATCTGATGTTACACAAGGTTGTTTATGGGATATTGCATTGCCTGTATTCTTGTGAATAAACAAACAGATAAATAGATCTCAGCATTCTTAAAACTAGAACACACAGCAAATTAATATTTTTTTCAGAGACACAAAGTTATCAGACTTATCAATGAAATATGTAGTAAGCATTCCAATATAGGAAACAAAGTAGTTTTAATAAAACAAGCTGAATTTATGTTGATTGAATGGATTTGTCCTCTGCATTTTTGTATGTAAAGATACCATTGATGTGAAAATGATGCTTTACTATGTCGCCAGAGCTATACTGGAAGTAATTTTGTCCAGCTCTGTTTGTATTTATCAGTAACTATAAATTAGTTCATTAATTGAGCTTTAACTGACTGCAAATCTGACATAATCATTGAATTCCTTTTTATGAATGTCATTTTTCATAAAATGTCTGAAATGGTTACTCTTCTAGGTTGTGGTATCAAATGTACAGTAACACCAGTGGAAGTGGTATTTGTCATTGACAGTTCAGAAAGTGTTAGACCAGATAACTTCAATATTATCAAAACTTTTATGAAAACAGTCATTCATAAAGTATCAGTCAACAACACTACAACCTGCATTGGCATTATCAACTTCAGCCATTAAGTGGAATTGCTGTCTTTTCTGAAGCAATGTCAGACCAAAGAATACCTGAAATCAGCTCTTGATAAAATGCCCTAGTTGGGAGAAAGCACATACACAGCTTCTGCTATCCAGGAAGCCACTCAGTTATTCCAGGCAGCACACCCAGCAGTAAGAAAAGTGGCTGTTGTAATAACAGCTGGACAAGCTGATAGTTGTGATAAACTACAGCTGGATACTGCAGGAAGAAAGGTCCATGCTATGAATATTGAGATGTTTGTCATTGGGATTGTTCAAAGGACTGATCCTCATTATGATGCTTTTCTGAAAGAAATGCAGCTCATGGCAACAGACCCTGATGAAGAACATGTTTACCAGATAGATGACTTCATTACTCTTTCAGGTGAAAGAAACTACTTTAGTAAGAGGAAACTTGAAATAAGCATGTAAGAGTTTGCCTTTTTCACAGCAAGGCAAGGCAGCCTGCTGAATGGCAGCTAATGTTTCTCTTCCAGATGCAGCTTGCTCTTGTGTTTCTCTTCCTCTTTGGCAAAATGAAACCTTTACTAAATTTTTACCTCTTGCAGAAACAATAAAACACAATGAACACCAGTTTTCTGAGCTGAGGCCTCCTTTGAGGCACTCTTGTGTGAAAGCTTGCATCAGCCTTCCCTCACACCCCTCTTGTGCTTAGCCATGGTTTCACCCCAGAGAGGTTGGCAGATTTCCTTCCACCTTGACAACATCTGTGTCTTGTTCTCTCTATTGCATTAGCTCTTGTCAGTCTTTGAGTCCTTCCACCAGGTCTAACAAGCTCTGTTTTGGTTTTGGTTTTGTCACCTGAAAGTGATAGGAAAACCTACACTTTCATCCTAATTCTAGGGGAAAAGTGGTGGTGCAGCACACAAGGGAAAGCATTCTGATCAGTACTTTGTATATTTCAAACTCTGACTTGAAAAAAATCCTATGGACACAGCTGGAATTAAGAGAGAAAATCCAGAGGAAACCTATAATGACCCATAAAAAAAAAAAAAGAAAAAAAAAAGAAAAAGAAGAAAAAGAAAAAGAAAGTCCATTGATCTAGACCAGCCATATAAAGCATATTTTCCTGAGCATAAACTTATTTTGCTCTGCTGAGCCTATCACTGGAGTCAAGTCTGGACTTAAGGTATTAACAGTTAAATGAGAGTCCAAGCTAAGGTTCTGGTCCCAGCTGGGATTAAATTTATGGCTCTTACTCAGGTTCCAGCATTCAACATAAAAGTATTCCCAGTCACAAACTTTTTTTGTGCAAATAAGTAGAATGTGTCACCTAGTTTTTCTTTTTCTTTCTTACATATAAACATTTTCTTCCCTTCAGTCTAATCTTCTGCTCGACCAGGCCAAATGCTATAAACCATAAAAGCTAGAAAAGGTTGAGAATAACAGAGGCTTTTCTTTTCTATAGAACTTATCACTATAAGGTGAACTCTTTTTCTGATGTTCTTGCTTCTAACAATTCAGACAAAGAGTCAGAAATTTAAAAAAATGTAGTACCCCATCTGCTCATTGTAGAACAGCAGCAGCTTTTTACTTGGAGAAACTCTACAAGTCTCTTTCTAACAACTATCAAATTGAATTCATCTTTGCCTTAAATCAGTTCAGGCACTCTCTGTCCCTTGGGCCCATTCAGACTCTTTAATTATGCTGCCTGTTCAGTGACTGTCCTGCAGTCTGCACTCCTCTATTTCTTCTACCTCTTCAAATTTCCTCTGTGTTACTCTAAATTGACTGAAGATACACAGCATTTCCTGCACTGCAGTTCCAAACATCCTCAGAAAACTGATTACCACATTTCCTCATCTGGAAGTTGCTGTCAAAGACATTTCTTGGGGAAAAAAAAGGGGGGAAAAAAGCCTTTCCTGATGGCACAGCTGAGACCAGCATCCACTTATTTTAGAGAAAAATTTTGCAGACAGTATAGGTTTATCACAGCATTCCTCACTTTTCTCTCTCAGCTGTTTTCTTAGCTCCTCTGCTGCCATCCCTCCATATAACATATCTTTCTCAAAGCTTACAAAGGCATCCAGCTCACGGCACATAGTTTAAAGCAAGTTCTCATGGGTAACCTAATTAATTTTTTAAAAAAGGTCTTTTATTACAGAATTACAGAATAATCGGAGTTGGACAGAACCTCTAGAGATCATCTAGTCCAACTCCCCTGCTAAAGCAAGATCACTTAGAGCACATCACACAGGACTGCAGCCAGGCAGGTCTTGAATGTCTCCAGAGAAGGAGGCTCCACAACCCCCCTGGGCAGCCTGTTCCAGTGCCTTGTCACCCTCACCGTAAAGAAGTTTTCCCTCATGTTCAGATGGAACCTCCTGTGCTCCCATTTGTGTCCCCTGTCCTATTGCTGGGCACTACTGAAAAGAACCTGAGTCCATCCTCCTTGCACTTGCCCTTTAGATACTTAGAGACATTAATAAGGTCTCTGCTCAGCCTTCTCTTCTCCAGGCTAGAGAGTCCCAGCTCTCAACCTTTTCTCATAAGAGAGATGCTGCAGCTCCCCAGCCATCTTTGTTGCCCTAAAAACAAATAACAAAACAACTTCTCTTCCTCCACCCCTCAGTGAAAGGACCAAAGTCTCCATGGACAGGTGTGTGGGCTGGGACACTTAAGCTCTACCTGCAAGTACAGCAACATTCGTAAGGTCTCCAGACACATGAGATACAGTAGGTCCAGCAATGAGATCTTTGACATCCACGTTACTCACAGTTATTCATCCTGCAGCTTCTTATCAATTATCTTTCATAATAATTTCCATCTCTTCAGACTTACTTTTTACCTTCCCAGTTGCAGAGCTCTTGCAGCTGCTGCTGAAACAGAATCTGCTGCAGATGAAGATTTTAAAATGGCACAGGCAAATGTAAGCAGACATCTCAGTTATCATACTTGGTAGCTAGACAAAGAAATCTAAATTATATTTAGTTACTAGATATTTACTGGAGAGAGCCTTAAATATAAGAGTCTTTAATTCCAGGAGAGTTATTACAGCTTTTAGTAGGGAGAGAATCAGGTCTAAGCTTCAGGCATAAACAAAACAGATTTTGAACCAAATTCTACTTCAGCTTGGCTTTTTTTTTTTTTTCCTAACCAGGAATATGTAGAAATTCAGCCAAATGGGTAAGGCTCTAAAACACAATCCATAAAGATCCTATTTTGGCTTTCTAAGAGTATGTAAGACCTAATTTAGAACAATTTCTCAGACAGAAGGAAGAACACGTGTTCTCCTCTGTCTCACAATCTCTGCTTTAAGCAGCTGTGATCTCCCTACATACAGACAGGGACGAAAAAGGGAGATTTTTGTATTTTATTGGCATGGCAAAAGGGATCTCTCCAGCATCTACACAGTTGACCCTGGGACAAAAAGAAAACCATTCCTTATTGTAAAAATAATGGTAGAGGAGAGTTTTGACCACAACAAATCTGGAAACCAGGAGGCTCAACATGTGATTAACGTCCCCAAAAGAGTTTTGGATTAGCTTTAAAACTGCTGCAATCTCAGCTAATCCCAGGTGCTGCTGGAAGTGTTAGGGCTGATGCTGCTCCTCTCTCAGCAGCTTAAAGCTTTCCCAACACATAAAAAAATTGTGCCAGAGTGGTAAAATAAATCAGAAACAGTTAGAAAAAAAACAGGCCAACGATGTGCCTGGGTACACCCCCTTCAGTAGCCAGGCTAGGGGAGAGATGGCTGTGTGGAAAGCATTTATCTGGAGAAAGATTTCAGGGGGTTTGTGGTCTGGTTGCTGCCTTCTGGCCCAGGGATGCCCAGGCTCACTGAGCACATGGGCAGGGAAGTGGAGAGGGGGGCAGGGGAGGAAGCCTGGGGACAGTTTGTAGTGATTTTTCCATGGAAAGCAAATAGCTAGTAACTCTTCTGAATTACCATAATGACATAAGTGGCAATTTCATCTACATCATGTTTCATTCTTTTTAGGGACAACTCCCTAGTGCATCGTGTTTTCTCCAAGGACAGCTTCCATCAGTTTTAACTATATTTGTAAATTAAGGGGTGAAATATATTTCTGCTGACCAGAAAGGCTGTATTTTCCAATTACTTCAAACATAATGAGATAAAATATGAAAACAATATAAAATATTGCTTTGAAAATTAATATTTTCATTGCAATGACCCTTGGAGAACTATGACTGGGACTCCATCAGGCTGCACGCCGCGTAACTGGGCGGATCATAAGTTACTTGAGGCACAGGCTGCCAAAATACACAAGTCACTGTAATAAGCAGAAAGCACACTGACAAGGGTGGTGCTGGAGGCAGAACTGCACTCAGCCTGAAGGGAATATCACATCTGCAAACAAAATTTTCAGGTTTTGTTCTGGATGAACTGTACAATGTAGCCAACCCAAAGTCACGGTAATCGATGGATATTCTAGGGCATGGATGTGAGCTTGTGTGAGTGCAAAGCATTCTTTGAGCAGGATCCTTGAGAATTTAGTAGTCACATCAGGCTTTTTTTACATGCTCAGTAGTGTGTTGGATTTGTTTACAATTGAAAAGCTGGCTGAAACTTTCCTTTTTAAGAGGAGAAGAATCACCCAACAGAAGTCCTCTTCAACAGGTTAAAATTCCACATCAGGAATTTAAGTTAATATGGAGTAAGCATGTTGTACTGCTCCTCAAGTCAAGCATTACAGAACTTGTCATATCAATGAAAAGAAATGCCAGCATCTTAAATGATGCAGCTGAAGTTCAGGGTCCCAACAGCTTTATCCTACAGTGCCACCAGGAGGAAAAAAAAAAAATGCCTCTGCAAAACAAACAGCAAGATATCAACAGATTTTTACAAATTCTATTGAAGTAACAACTTCCAAAACTCAGCAGCAGTAGCTGGTCAAGGACTTTTAAATCATCTCTTAATGCATCTCACAAAATTACATTTCCTACTGGTCTCTATTAGCTACTTCATGATCTTCTTTGACAAATTTCCCAGTTGTCTTATGCCTCATGTTCAAACTGGACATTGTGGAACCAGGGTGTTGAGCCAGATATCAAGTACTGCAGTGACAAGCTCTATAAGGTATTTACAGTGAAGCAGGAACACAGCTATAAAAAGGACCCTTATCACAGAATCACACGATTACCGAGGCTGGAAAAGACCTTTAAGATCATAGAATCATAGAATCACAGAATCTTAGGGGTTGGAAGGGACCTCGAAAGATCATCTAGTCCACCCCCCCTGCCAGAGCAGGGTCACCTAGAGCACATCACACAGGAACTCATCCAGGTGGGTTTTGAATGTCTCCAGTGAAGGAGACTCCACAACCTCCCTGGGCAGCCTGTTCCAGTGCTCTGTCACTCTTACAGTAAAAAAAATTTTTTGGATATTCACCTTGAACCTCCTATGCTCCAATTTGCACCCATTACCCCTTGTCCTATCACTGGTCATC